GGGGGGGGGGGGGGGGGGGGGGTGGCAGCAGAACTGGTCAGTGCCAAGCCTGAGGATGGCTTGTTGGGAAGGAGCTGTGCAGCAGCAGGAGCTGAGGGGTAGCAGCCCCATCTAGGTGACATGGCATGAATGCCAGGGACCCCAAACATGAGCATGCAGGCATAAGGAAGGAGTGCAGGGGAGACTGGCTGGGGCTGGGGCTGGGGCTTGCTCTGTGTCTGCACACCTGGCTCGATAGCCCCCAGCATCCTCTCTGCAGGAGCTGGCAGAGGATGGAAGGAAGCAGACCTCCCCCGTGGTCCTGAAGCCTGGGCCTGGGCAGTGCCCAGCAGGGCCACCTGGGCAGGGTCTGTCCCTCTCCTCCCAGCCCCAGCTCTCACCTTGGGGGGTGGCAATGGCATAGCTGATGGCCCAAGTGTAGTGCAGCTGGCGGGTTGGGCTGGCTGTCACCTGGACGATGGCCTTGGACCTGGCAGGTATCCTGCTTTCGTAGTGTCCCAGCTCTAATGCTGCAAGAGACCAGGGATGGGAACACGAGAGGGCCTGAGCTCTCAGGGGCATGTGGGTTAGCTCTCAGCCAGCCTGCCCGCCCCCAGCCCTGTGAGCCCCCAGGGACCATAGAATCAGAGAAGTGGGGTCGGAAGGGACCTTGCAGATCTTCAAGTCTGAACCCCTGCCTGGGCAGGAGGAAAACTGGGCTCAAATGACCCCAGCCAGGTAGGCATCAAGCCGCTTCTTAAAGTCCCCCAGGGTAGGAGCCAGCACCACTTCCCTTGGAAGCTGGTTGCAGATCCTAGCGGAAACAAGGTCTCCCCCAAACCCTTCTGGTCCCCCCTAGTGAGTTTATAGACGGTCACCAGGTCCCCCCTCAGCCTTCTCTGGTGAAGGCTGAACAGGTTCAGGTCCCGTAGCCTCTCATCGTAGGGCCTGCCCTGCTGTCCCCGGATCATGTGGGTGGCCCTCCTCTGGACCCTCTCCATGTTGTCCACATCCCTCCTGAAGTGGGGTGCCCAGAACTGGACACACTACTCCAGCTGCAGCCTGACCAGTGTTGCGTAGAGGGGGAGGATCACCTCCTTGGCCCTACTTGAGATGCATCTGTGGATGCACGATAACGTCCAGTTAGCTTTGCCGACCGTGACCTCGCATTGTTGGCCCATGTTCATCTTGGAGTCAGTGATGACTCCAAGATCCCTTTCTGCCTCCGTGCTCTCAAGAAGCGAGTTTCCCATCTTATAAGTGTGCTGCCGGTTACTACTGCCCAAGTGCAGCACCCTGCACTTATCAGTATTGAAACACATCCTGTTCTTGTCAGCCCACCCCTGCAACCTATCCAGGTCTTTCTGCAGTCTTTCCCTCCCAGCTAACGTGCCCACCTCGCCCCAAATTTTGGTATCATCAGTAAATTTGAACAGGTTGCTTTTCACCCCCTCGTCCAAATCGCTGATAAAGAAATTGAACAGCGTGGGCCCAAGGACCGAGCCCTGGGGACTCCTCTGCCCACTTCCCCCCAGGTCGAATATGACCCGTCCACCACCACCCTCTGCGTATGACCCTTCAGCCAATTAGCAATCCATCTGACCGTGTAGGCATCAATGCCACAGTCGCCTCGTTTTTTAATGAGGATGGGGTGGGAGACAGTGTCAAAGGCCTTGCTGAAGTCCAGAAAGACTACATCCACAGAGACACCTGCATCCAATGCTTTTGTGACCTGATCGTAAAAGGGGTGGGCCAGCCTAAGCCTCTAGCCAGGACCCAGCAGGGCTAAGTCCCAGCAGGAGCATTGGCAAAGCCTTGGCACAATTCTAGCCTGGTCTGCAGCCAGCACCCAGCACCCAGCATTGCTTTGAAAGAAAAGAAGGAAAAATCCCTGACGTAGCAACAGGAGGGGGGAAAATTCCTCCTTGGCCCCATGTGGCTACCAGCAAAGCCCACTGGCCATCTAAAGAGCAGGTGTTCCCCAAGTCCCAACAACAAAAAGGAGCCCCCTGTCGTCCCTGCCCCACTCCTCCCAGACCCTGAAGTCAGTACCAAGTGGGTCATCCAGGACCTCCTCGGGGTCACAGGGGCCTGTGATTGTCTGCTCCACGCTGAGCACGTAGTTCAGGGAGCAGATCCCATCGTTCAGCAGCACCAGGTCACAGCGCTGCAGGCTGCCAACAAGGATGTTGCCCAGGTCCAGCTGCTCCTCCTGAGCCTGGACACAAACCCACAGAAATCATAGATCACAGAGCCCTAGAGCCACGGGGCCAGCAGGGAGCTGCAGGATCACATCCAACCCGAGGCAGGATTAGCCCCATCCAAACCAGCCTAGACCAACCCCGTGTGTGACCTTGAAGACGCACGACAGTCACCCCTGACACAGCCCCAGGCATCGCCCCCGCCCCTGCCACCGGGAAAGCAGGGGGGCCGCGGCCACCAATGTCCTGCTGCTGTCAGGGGGGTTGGTGGGTGCTGGAGAGAGCCCAGGCCAAGGCCGTGCCCCCACTGCAGAGGGAGGGGAAATCCCCCAGGCCAGGCCAGGCTGAGCAGGGGGCAAATCCCCACCTGCCCCTCTCAAGGCAGAGTGGGGCTGAGCCTGAGCAGGGGGCAACAGCCTGTAGCCAGGACCCTGTGGGGGCTGATTCCCAGCAGAAGCACTGGCGCAGTCCCAGCCTGGGATGCAGCCAGCACCCAGTGCCTCTGGGAGGGCTTCACCCCCCCCCGGATACATGGAGCAGAAAGGGAGGATGGGGGCAACTAGCACAGCCCAGCAGTCTGGGACTCCCCGCCAGCAGAGCACAGGCATTGTGGCACCTCGATCTTCCTGCCCAGCACCCGTCCAGCCTTTCCTTGGACCCTCCCATGCTGCAGAGTCCTCCCGGCCCCGGTGTCTCCCCCGTGGCCTCCCTGCTCAGGCAGTAAAGAAGTGTTTCTAGATATCTAACCTAAACCTGCTTGGCTGCAACATTCAGCCATGGATCCATGTCATGCTCTCTGTGGCAAGACAGAAAAGCTGCTCTCCCTCTTCTCTACCCTCCAGGTATCTGCAGGCTGCTCTCATATCCTTTCTGAAGCCCCTTCCTACCAAGTGAACATGCCCAGCTCCCTCAGCCTCACCCCGCAGGACTTGCCTTCCCAGCCCTTGACCATCCCTGTCGCTGCCTCTGCCCCTCTCCAGCTTCACATCCTTTTGGAAACACTGAACCCCAAATTTCACACAATGCTCTAGGTAAGGCCTAACCAGTGTCAGGCCAGGGTCACCAGGCACATGCAGGCTGCCAGGGAGCAGAGCCGCAGCATGGGGCAGAGGCAAGGAGGCCCCACATGAGCTGATGGGGCCCTGCCAGCTGGGACCTGAACTCTGCATGAAGTGAAGCAGAAAGAGCAGGCAGCTGCACTGGCTTGTGGTCAGTCCCAGGAGGGATAGAGAGACAGCTGGATGGAAGATCACAGCCCGAGATGGACACCGTGAGTGACCAGAGAATGCAGGCAGGGCACGTTCTAATGGGCAGCACGTCAGACTTGGGCAGATGCCCTGGTCCCCACTGCCCCAGCACGTTGCTGGAGGTGACAGACTCTGCTGTGGATACCCACAGGGACACGCACCATCTGCCCCGTCACCTACCCTGATGGCACCCAGGGCACCCTCGCCGATGACCCGCAGGAGGTAGCGAGGGCTCTTGGGGGACGTGGAGGCAGCGTTCTCTCTCCACACCGACACCCAGGTGTGCAGGAGGTACCTGGTCTCCTCCCTAGGGGTAAAGGTCCACGTCTGAGCCTGCAAGCACACATGGGACAGGATGCTGGAGCCAGGCCTCTCCACTGCCCAAGCTGGTCGGCCATTCCATGCACAGCAGTGGGGCAGAGCACCCCCTTCCTTGCTGCTAGCTCAGCAAATCTGCCCCCCACTGCCACCCTGCATGGCTCCAGGCCATGTCTGCACTGACTGCCTGCCCCTCCAGTGGGCTGGACGAGCAATGGACAGGGGTGGTTTAGGAGCAGCTGTCACATGGGGATGGCACCAGATAACCCGGGGGTCCCGGACAGCCCAGCCTTTCTGGGATGCTCCGGTTCATGTTGCCCTGCAGAAGTGCCAAGGACAGAGCGCAGTGGCTCCAGGTACGTTAGCCCATGGGACCATTGAGATGCAGCGGGCAGGAGTGGGGGACCCTGCAGCCACTTCCCACCCACACATCAAGGCCAGTCTTGGTGCCAGCACTCACCAGTGCTTCGTTGGGCTGGAGGAAACCAGTGCTGGGCTTGACTGCCAGGACCTTGCCATCAGCTGGCTGGATCCTCCACCCAAAGTAAAGGGGCAGCCGAGAGCAGTTCTTGATGGTGAAGAGGCGTGTGGAGGAGGCGCCCACGCAGGTGGGCTTGAAGTACAGCCTCCCATCACCCTCCAGCAGCAGACGTGGGGGATCCGCGCTACTCTCTAGGGAGATCTCCTGGGCAAAAAGAGAAGAGGGGGTGTTAGCTGGGCACTGAGGCTGCAGCACCTCCAGAAGCAGGTCCAGGGGGTGCAGCTGCCCCTCCCTCCCCTCAATTCCTTCTCCCCTGAAGCTTTAACCCCAACAGCTTGCAAAGGCAGCGGCATTTCTATCCAGGGAGTCAATCAACTTCATGGCTCAATATCATGCCTCTGATTCCAGCTAATCTCTCTCCACGCCACTTTCTCTTTCTAAGTCTTAATGGCCCACTCCTCAAACCATCCTTCCCTCTGCCGTGCTGCCGTCTGAAAGCCTGGCCTGGGAACATCACTTCTACTTCCCAGCCCTGCAGACTGGTTTTGGCTTTAACTGAAAACCTTCGTTCAGGTGTGGTCCTTTTCCAGGCTCTTTAGCCTGGAAAAGCGCAGGCTCGGGGGTGATCTGATGGCCACCTATAAGTTTATCAGGGGTGACCACCAGCATCTGGGGGAACGTTTGTTCACCAGAGCGCCCCAAGGGATGACGACTAGGTCGAATGGTCATAAACTACTACAAGACCATTTCAGGCTGGACATAAGGAAGAATTTCTTTACTGTCCGAGCCCCCAAGGTCTGGAATAGATTGCAGCTGGAGGTGGAGCAAGCACCTACTTTGAATGCCTTCAAGAGACATTTGGATGTTTATCTTGCTGGGATCCTATGACCCCAGCTGACTTCCTGCCCTTTGGGCAGGGGGCTGGACTCGGTGATCTTCCGAGGTCCCTTCCAGCCCTAATGTCTATGAAATCTATGAAATCTATGAACTCAGGTGTAGAAATGACCGACAGTGTAGTATCGGCGGTGCTGTCAAGACACTCAAGAAGAGATGTTGTGTTATGAATCTGATTAGGGGACTAATGGCACTGATTTCTGGATTCTTTTGACTATTTTTTCCCTAGTTTGTTGATTTTTTTTAACTATGTATAATCCTAGAGTGAGGGGGCTGGCAGGGACCTATAGGGTCACATCAGGTCCAGGCCCTGCCTGAGACAGAATCAGCCCTATCCAGACTATCCCAGACAAACCCACCATCTAAACTCTCCATAAAACTACCAGCAACCCTACCACAGCCAGTAACCCTACCACAATGAGTGCATGTGCCAACGGTGATAGTTATTTTTGCTTTAATCTTAAAACTGAACCCCTCAGTGTCAGCCCCTGGCACATTTATAAAGCTTCTAGTTCCTCTTTAACTGGAGAAAAAAGGGTTGTGATGTATATGATAAGGTACCACCGCCTTTTTCAAAATCCCTGATCCATCCACAGGCAGCTCCCAAGGGCAGCTGGGAGCAAGCAGGGCCAAGCCTGGGCTGAACTGTCCAGGAGGGCCTTCGCTGCAGCTTGGAGTGGGGCAGACAGAGGAGGAAGAGGTCCTGGCCCCAAGGGCACCTGTGATGTCTGTCTGAAACGATGCACCGATCCCACCCAAGGGAGGGAGACTGTAACCCTTCAAGCTCTTCCTTCCAGACAAAGATCAAGATGACCTCATGAGAGCAACACTCAGGGCCCCCGGAAGGGAGAGAGTAGTGTCCCAGGGGAGGGAGCCCTCTTGGCACCTACCTGGGTGTACTGGGGGCAGGCATTCAGCTGCAAGGCCAGCTTGTGCTGCTGGGGGGTGGCATCCATGGGCTGCGTGGAGAAGAGGAAGATCTGGTGGGCTCCAGGGACTATGTATCCTGAGCGGGGCTTGACTGTGACAGAGGGGCAGGAGTCTGAGTCCATGGTGAAGGTGATAGGTGAGGGTCCGGTGTTCTGGAGCAGCACGCTGCGGTAGGTGCTAGTGCCCACATCCACCACGGGGAAGGTCTGAGGGGAAGCCAGCAAGATGAGGTGAGCTTGGGGTGGAAGCCAATGCAAGCAGAGAGCCCCGGCCAGAGCCTGGGCTGGGCCCCTGCCATACTCATTTCTGGTCCTCACACCTCCAGAAGGAGAGAGAAGAGCTAGGGAAGGTTCAAAGCAGGGCAACAAGGAGGCTATGGAGGGGCTTCCCTAGGAGAAAAGGCTCACGAGGCCAGGCCTGGGCAGTCCAGGAGAGACACTGGAGGGGGACAGGAGCAGGGTTTGCACTGCACTGAACGGGGAAGAGAAAGTCTCTGGGGATTTATTCCTGCTTGTCTCTGCCCAGACAGAGCGGGGTCCCGGCATTGGACAAGCAGGCTGGCAGCTGCAAACCAATGCCCTGCAGGGCATTCAAAGGGGGACTTGTGGCCCCAGACATGGTGGCAGCTGAGACTGAAGCCAGATTCACCAGGAATTGGACATTTGCTGGGAGGAAAGGGGCACGGGGAGCTCTGGAGCAGGGAGCAAGGGGCACGGCCTCTGCACCAGCCCTGCCTGGACCCTCAGTGCTGGAGGCTGCCAGGGGGAGAGGAACAGGGGAAAACCCTGCTCAGACCTGGGCACTCTCCCTTCCAGCTCTGCTCTCTGCTGCCATGTGACACAGGAGACGGGGCACAACGGACCTAGGGTGTCACCTAGGAAATGGCAGCTCTGATGTATCTTACATTCATCTGTGCCCCTGGGGAGAGAGCCCGAGAACTGTTCTGGGACCACAGGGCAGCTCTGTGACCCCCTATCAGTGCCTGGTGCGAGTGGCTGAGGTGGGCTTCCATGGGCTGCGCCTGCCCGAGGTCCGAGACAGGCAGCCATGAGACACAGCAGTGCCACTCCTGGCAGGTGACCAGTGCCGCTGGCCTACCACGGGCCCAGAGCCAGTGGGGGCTTCTCTGGCTTTGCAAGAGGCACGTCCTTGAGCAGCCAGAATCCACAGCAGGGCAGGGAGCAGGGTCAGACAGACCATCCAGGACCCCACTCCTGGAGGAGCTGGAGATAACTCGCTTTACCTTACAGGCTCCCTCAGCCCGCACAACACCGGTGCCACCGGTGCCCCCTGGACCCCCCACAGAGCAGATGGAGCCTGCAGAGGGCACCAGGGGGAGCAGCGGATCACGCTGGCCTTACTGGCAGCTACCCAGCTTCCACAGCAGGAGGGAACCCCAGCAGCATCCCCTCCCGACAAGACAGACCCCCAGCTGCCAGGACGAGGGGCTAAAACTCCAGGTACCAGGAGATCTCACATTTGCCCCATGCTGGGCTCTCCTGCTGGGGCTCACAGCTAGCCCCAGGGCCCCCAGCTCACTCACCTGGGGGGCATCCAGGATGTATGCAGGGATGAAGTGCTGCTGCCCCGGCTCGAAGGTGTGGGCCTGTAGCCTGAGCGTCAAGCACCAGGATGGGCAGAGGGTAACGTCCTCCTCCACGTTGCTGTAGTGTCTCAGCACCTGGGGGCCAAGGAGAGGTAGCATCAGGTGGGGCAGTGTGCTGCAGGCATGTGACACATGAGGGGCTGCGAGGTGGGGGCACACTCTAATGCACTCTCATCCTCCAGCCCTGACCTGCTGCCTGGCACGGCACAAAACACTTGTCCTGGGCTTCAGAGGCGAACATGGGAAGCAAAAAACTACCAGCTGGAGGGCTGAGCCTGCCTGTAATGGCACTTGGCTCCTATGCTGAACAGGGCAGGAGGCGATGTTGCCCTCAGGCGCTAATGATTGCTAAACCCTGAATGATGGGAGGGCAGGGAAGAGATGGTGAGGGACTGGCATTGATTGTGTTGACCCATGCAGTACTTTCTGGCTGCTCCCAGAGGCCGTCTGAGGGCACCATTCCCATTAGGACACTTGTTAAGATGACCAAAGGAAGTCTCCTGTGACAAAGCATCATTTAAATATAGCTCAACCAGGCCAAGCAGTGGTGCGCCAGGCCCCCTGCCCTCCACCTTGCCCCCTGCTTTGGAGCTGCGTTGAGCAGAGGGGTTTCAGCTATGCCAGGCTGTAGTTAAGCTAAGACACCACAAATGACCCTGGGAGTAGCAGGCATCACCGACGGCTGGGTGGCCTGATAAAAGAAACGGGGAGTTGCGGAGTTTGAACTCAAGTCATTCTCTCTGCATCGCACCTGAGCTCCTGGAGGCTGGTTGCAGGCAACAGCCTCTGAGAGCAGATAGACCCAGGCAACCTGAACACCGAGAGCATCAGCAGGGAGAAGGCTGGCTGGGAACCCTCCCAGCCCGAGTGCTTCAGAAAACCAAGTTACATGGACCCCGGGCTCTGCTGCTCCCGGTGCCATGCTCAGATCAGACCCTGACTACCCTCACTGACCTTGTAGTAGGCAAAGCCCTCCAGCTCGGCGGCGTACAGGGCGTTGGGCTGCGGAGGCTGGAAGGTGACACGGAAGGCAGTAGACTTGAGGGGCGGGATGTCGCATGTGGTTGGGGCCACCTGGAAGGGCCGCTCGGGGCGCTGTGTCCAGGCCACTGTGACTGTGCCCTTGGTGTGGTTGGTGATGCAGAGCGGGAGGGGCTGGGCGCCACGGGGCGGCAGGCAGCACCCGAAATCAAACTCCTGGACGCTGATGCTGACGTGAGGAGGGAACGTGGCCAGGTCGCTGCTCACGCCATCGTGGAGGTATTCGGTCATGGAGTCCACAGGTGTGTAGGTCTCGAGGGGGCTGTCCACGGGGGCCTGCAAGGAGGAGGTGGAGCTCTGGGGCAGAAAGGGGTCTTGGGGCCTGGTGTCAGCTTGGCCCAGCCCAGAGACCTCCCAGGGAGCACTCTGGCTCCCAGCAGTGGCTGCTTCCATGTAGGTTCCTTTCTCCTTCCCAAATTCCAACACGTGATTGAAGCCAAAGCAGACTCAAGCACATGGCCACAGGAATCACAGAGAAGTAGGTCTGGAAGGGACTTCTGGAAGTCACATTGGGCCCAAGCACTGCCCGAGGCAGGATCAGCACCATACAAAACAGCCCAGACAAACCCCATGTGTAACCTTGGAGCCACACAACACCATTGCCCTGACACAACTCCGGGCATCACCCCTGCCCCTGGGATACAGGGGTCCGCAGATGCCAACGTCCTGCTGCTGCCAGGGGAGTTGGTGGGCGCTGGAGAGAGCCCAGGCCCAGGCCGTGCCCCCGCTGCAGAGGGAGGGGAAACCCCCCCCCCAGCCAGGCCAGGCTGAGCAGGCAGCAAATCCCAACCTGCCCCCTCAAGGGAGCGTGGGGCTGAACTTAAGTGGGGGGCAAGAGCCTCTAGCCAGGACCCTGCAGGGCTGAGTCCCAGCAGGAGTGTTGGCACAGCCCCAGCCTGGGCTGTAGCCAGCACCCAGCACTTCTGGGGTAGGCTTGAAAACCCCCAGACAAATGTAGCAGAAAGGGGAGGGCAGGGGGCAACCAGCAAAGCCAGAAAGAGAGCGGTGCCCAGAGCCAGCACTAACGGGCCCAGACACCCAGTGCCAGCGTGGGCTGCACGCACTGTCTGACACCTGAGGCACATACCTGGGGCGGAAGCCGGAGCGCCTTGCTGTGGTCCACCTGCAGCTTGCCCTCTTGCAGCATGGTGCCCAAGATGTCAGGGGGGTAGAAGGTCAGGCCCCTGGCCACGTGGGTCCTGTACCACGCCAGGTGCTGTGGCCCCAGGACGGGCGGCTTGGCCGTGTCCGAGTGACAGGTTCCAAACAGATCAAGGAACAGTGGGTCCTGGGGGGATGGGGAATGTCTGCATGATGCGACCACTTCTCACTGCCCTCCTGGGCTGCCTAGCCCCTTAGGCTTCCCCCACCATTTCTAGCCTCTCTACACGTGGCCCGGTAGCTCTGGGAGAGGGGCATGGACAGCAGCTAGCATGGGGTTCAGGTGCCTGCGCTTCCCCTCCCCTAGGGTATGGACTCATTCACAGCTCCTGGGGTGTGCAGGGCACGGGCTTCCTGCTGCCAGCCTCTCCCCTGCCTTCCAGGTGCTCAGTCCATGCATGCTCTTGCCCCCCAGGTCAGTGGCGCCTCCATCCCTGAGGCTCCCTCAATTCCACTGCAGGCCAAGCTGCCATGGGGCAGCCTCTCCTTTCTGCCTGGGCAGCTTCTGGGGCCTGGCTCAAGTGTGGTAAAGCCGGGCCCCTTGCCCACCCCTCGCTCCCCCTATCCCACTGGTAGGGCTTTGCAGCCCAGGCGTGTGCTATCCTGGCCAGCTGCAGGAGAGCCCAACTCGGCAGCAGGAGATGGCTGCAAGCCCAGATGGGGGTGCAGGCATAGGAATGAGAACATAAGAACTGTCACTCACTGGGTCAGACCCAGGTCCACCTTGCCCCCTTCTCCTGCATCCAGAGGCTGAAAGGGAGAGTGACCTGGGAACGACCAGGGTTTCTAACCCCGGTTCCTCTCTCCCTGGCAGCCTCCTGCACTGAGGGTCCAGGCAAGTCTGGTGCAGAGGCCGTGCCCCTCACTCCCTGCTCCAGAGCTCCCCGTGCCCCTTTCCTCCAAGAACTGCTCTTTCCTGGGTGCTAACAGGTAATGCAAGTGTGGGTAGCCCAGGCAGCACACGGGGTAGCCACAAGGCTTGGTCCCTGCACGCTGCACATATCAGGCAGCCAAGTGGTGTGGAAGGGGATCAAGCTTGTTAAATGGGTGTCTGGTTTGCCAAACACCAGCTGCAACCAGTTGACATGGAGGAAGTCAGTCTCTGCCTCTCACTGCCCTTCAGCAGTCACCCCCTGTGGAGGATTTCCATCCCAGCCTCCTCCCCAGCCCCCCTTTCACCACTTTTTTTTCTCTCCTTGGCATTGTCCCCTTACCCGTCTATCAACTCTGCCTAGTGCCTGAGGACAGGTAGGAGGGTGGAGGCTTAAAAACTCTCTATTGTTGTAAGCAGGGACCTCATGGCCTGGGGGGCAGGGCGGGTAGCCCCTACCACTCCACCGGGTAGTGATGATGATGCATTTGACATTGGCTGGCTAGCAGCCAACAACTGCTGGCCTTCATTGGGCCCCCAAAGGTGATCTCAAAAGACCTATATAAGCTAAGACTGCCCAGGGGGTGGGGCAGAGCAGCCATGATGAAGACACGGGAGCTGAAACATCTGCAGCTCTCTCTCTTGAGATGCTGGAGTGAGTAAATTGTTGAAACCTAACTAGATCTATAGCTTGCTGTAAAGTAGATGTGTGGTTTGCTCTAGAGTTATCCTGTAATACTTCTCTATGCTGCAGCCTTCCCTCTGTAACCAATAAAGTTCTTCACGGTACCAAGCGTAGCAGACTTGTTGGGAAAGGCATGCCTCTGTGCCCCCTTGGTCCAGCTGACTAAGGGAGGCTACTTGTTGTGCTTCAGGCTAGAGGAAGCAACCCAAGCTTTTGCAGCAGGTCAAGCACCCTTAAGAACTACACGGCCTGTGTATCCCAGGGGGGACAGGGGTTAGAAACAGTCCAGACCCCTGGGTGGTGGCAACAGTACCCCCAGGCTTGTGGGTGTACTCCAGGAAGGGGGTTGGCCAGAGGTGAGGCGCCCCCAGGGAGGCACTCGGAGCTTGGCAGTGGACAGACCCACTGAGGTGGGTGGCTCAGTGCAGGAGCACCCCCTACTGACCCACCACATATGGTGGGAGCCGTGGGATCCCACAGCCTGCTGTCTAGAAGGCATAATTTGGGGAAAGGAAGTACAGTCACTGAAAACCCTTGAGCATCCTTAATTCGGCATCGGGTCAACTGGACAGAGTAGCTAGCTAGGATGGCTGACGAGTATGACCACAGGACCGTGGCCAAATTGAGAGAGGCAGTGAAAGAGAGAGGCCTTCCAGTGAGGAAGGAGCAAAAGAAAGAAGACCTGAGTAAGATCCTGTGTGATAATGCTCAGGCCTCAACATCTCCTCCACGCTTCGTCAGCAACCGCCGAGGGGTTACCCTCTGAGTGGGACCTCCGGAGGTACCAGCTGCAGCTAGGTCAGGAGGCCCAGTGCAGGCACGAGCTAGAGATGAAGAGGATGGAGCTAGTGGAGAAGGCAGCACAACGCGAGTATGAAGCCAAAGAGGCAAGGCTCAAGTACGAGTGCACGCTTGACCTAATTCAGAAGCAGCAAGATGCCAGCATCCTGATCGATCCGACTCAGCAGGTGCAGGACGCACCCTCCAGACTGAGCACCCCAGTCTTCTCTTGCTACAGAGACGGAGATGATCCAGAAGTGTTCCTAAGTAACTTCGAAAACCAAGCGCGCCGGTGGAAGCTGGGAAAGGATGAGTTCATGAAATATATCGCTGCACACGTAACGGGTAAACTGTCCCTTGTCTTGCACAGCATGCCCACTGAGTCAATGGACAATTATGACGCCTTTAAAAAGGCTGTGAATTTATGGTTTGGGTTAGGACCGGTTAGGACCGGTGCTTGTGGTACCTCTTAAATTCAGGGATTATTTCCAGACAAAATTCTATAATGCCACCCCACAGCCAGGAAAGTCAATGACCGATTTCGGGGGCTGGCTGTGGGACTCGCTCCTTAAATGGGCAGACAGAGCCAAAGCTGCCACCAGAGAGCAGGTGCTGGACCTCATAGCGCTGAACCAATTCTATTCCCAATGCCCAAGGGAGATTAAACCCTTAGTCAAGGACAGGGACCCCAAAACAATGCAAGAGGCCGCTAAAATTATGGACCTGCTGTTGCTAAATCGAGAGGGGCTGGACAAAAGGCCTCCCTCCTTTGGGAAGGAACAGAAAGAGTTCCAAAAAAGGGGGAGGAGAGGGCCAGGCCCAAAATGGGAAAGGGGGCCACCTCCTGCAGAGTGCAGGGCAGCTCCAGATTCAGTCAAGCCACCCAATTTGGAGAAGGGGAGTTGCTATAACTGCGGGGAGCCTGGCCACCTCAGGCCTAACTGCCCAAAGCTAAGCAACACCACCAAGCTTGTCACCCATGCAACAGCTGTAAGCAGTGAGGAGGGAGACCCGAGCCACTCTGAGGGGCATGCCTGTTGCTACAGGATTACAAACCCAGAGGAGATGATGGCCGCCCACCGGACTGAGATAATGGTAAAAGAGAAAACCCTCATCGGGGAAATGAACACGGGGGCCCACGTGCCATTAAAGCCAACCTCATTTCACCCTCGGATATAGTCCCGGGGAGGACCCTTACCTTACAAAGGATGGGATCCCAGTCATTCAAGGTACCAGTAGCCCGTCTCCCCACCCAGTGCAGAGGCTGTGGGATGTGCATAGAACTAGGAGTGCTGGAAGAGGCTCCTGCCCCGATATTGGTGAGGCGCGATGTTATGGAGCTCGAATACCTGCAGAGGGAGCTGGACCACTTCCTAGAGCCCTACCGTGGTAATGTGGTGACTCGTCAACAGAGCAGACAGGCTAAGGCAGGAGGAGTGGAAACCTCCCAGTGCCTGGTCACCCAATTGGCTGCGGAGGCAGAGGAGAAGGGAGAGACTCCCTCTGGCTGCAACTATTTGCCAGTCCCTGGGGGAACTGGCAACCTCAACCTTGGGTTAAGTGACAGCCTCAGGGAGGGGCCCAGTCCGTCAGTGGCAGAGGAAACCGAGACTCTTGGGGAGAAGTTGGAGGATAGCCCTATAGGTGAAGGTGCACTCCTTATAGGAGTACCCAAACTCCCTGCTGATTGCTTAGCCAGGCAGGAGGAGTTCAAGCAGGAGGTTCTAGCGGACCCCAGCTTGGAGGAACTCCGGCGGATGGCCGAGGAGCAAGAGACAGAGCTCACCCCTGATAAGAGGGAACAGGTGATCTGGGATAAGGGACTCCTCTATAGGTTGTGGGTGCCTTGGAGCTATGCTGAGTCCTGGGAGCCCTGTCACCAGCTTGTGGTACCTCTTAAGTTCAGGGAGCAATTGCTTTCTATGGCTCATGATTTACCTTGTGCTAGCCACATGGGCAGGGATTGGACTCGCCAGCAGCTGCAGGCAAACTTTTATTGGCCCAAGTAGTCCAGAATGTGACAGACTACTGCAGATTGTGTAAGACTTGCCAACGGACAGGCAAAAGTGGGAACAAGAGAAAGTCTCCCTTACAGCCCCTCCTTACTGTCGATCAAGCCTTCCAAAGAGTGGGGATAGACATTGTGGGCCCACTGAGGCATAAGACTCGTAGAGGGAAGAAATACATCCTAACTCTTGTGGATTTTGCCACATGGTACCCAGAGACAATTGTCTTGACCTCTACCGAGGCACCCGTAGTTGCTGAAGCCCTGACCAAGATCTTCTTCCAGCTGGGTTTTCCCTCCGAGATCTTGACGGACCGGGGTGGGAACTTCCTGGCGGAGGTGAAGAAGTGCCTGTGGGAGCGCTGTGGGGTGAAACACCTTAAGACCACAGCCTACCACCCTCAGACAAACGGGTTGGTGGAAAGGTTCAACGGGACCTTGAAAGGGATGCTAAAGGCCTATGTGGACTCCAACCCCAATGACTGGGATGAGAAACTGCCGCACCTGCTCTTTGCCTACCGGGAGGTGCCCCAGGAGTCCACTGGGCTCTCGCCCTTCGAGCTGATGTTTGGGAGGCGAGTGCGAGGTCCTCTCGATTTGGTGAGAGAGGCATGGGAAGGGAAAATCTCTTCTAAAACATCTGTGGTAGAGTATGTACTAAGCTTTCGTCAAAAGCTAACTGACATGATGAAGGTGGCACGAGACTCCCTGGCCCAGGCCCAGGAGAAGCGGAGTCTGGTATGAGAAAAGGGCTTGCTTACGTACTTTCAAACAAGGGGATAAGGTCATGGTTTTCTTGCCACTAAAGAGACAAGCTGCGAGCAGCTTGGAAAGGTCCCCGTATCATCCTGGACAGGCTGGACGATGTGACTTATGTAGTGACCAAGAGCAGGTTGGACAAAAAGCCCAGAGTGATACATGTAAACATGCTTAAACCCTACTTTAACAGAAGTGATGTTGTATCTTGGTTTTCCTCAGTCAAAGGGTCACCTGAGGACCCAGAGGAGCCGATCATGTATGGTGTTTAGGAAGGAGAGGCAGAAACAGAGGAGCTCTGCCTGCCGGATCATCTGCCTTCCCAGGACAGGGATAGGCTACGTACAGCACTCAAGGACTTTGAGACAGTGCTCTCCAACAAACCAAGTAAAACAGACCTGGAGGTACACTCCATAAACATGGGCAGCCATTGCCCTATCCAATCCAGACCCTATGCAGTCAATGCAATGCAAGAAATAAAGCATAAGCTTGCTGAGATGCTGGAGCTGGCAGTAATACGGCCTTCAATTAGTCCCTGGGCCAGCCCTGTGGTACTCATCCAGAAGCAGAATGGGACCATCGTGTTCTGTGTGGACTACAGAAAGTAGAACACCATTACCACCCCCCATGCTTACCCTATACCCAGGACGGACTCTTTGCTTGATATCCTGGGCCCAGCCAAGGTCATCTCCACTCTCAATCTGTCCAAAGGGTTCTGGCAGATAGCACTGGGCCCGGACGCTATAGCCAAGTCTGCCTTTACCACACCCATGGGACTGTATGAGTTTACTGTTTTACCTTTCGATATGCGCATTTCTCCTTCTTTTCAGAGACTGATTAATAACCTGCTACGAGGGTGTGAGCAGTTTGCCATGGCTTACATCAGCGACATTGCCATCTTCAGTCAGGACTTTAAATCGCACCTGATTCATCTGACAACTGTGTTAGGTAAGATCAAGCAGGCTGGTCTTACCGTGAAAGCCAAGAAATGCCAGTTGGCATTATCTGAAGTGGCGTATTTAGGACACCGTGTGGGTGGGGGCATGACTGCTCCCTCATGGGACAAGATTGAAGCCATCAGAGACAGGCCAACCCCACAAACCAAGAAGCAGATCAGAGCCTTCCTTGGACTGGCCAGATACTACAGAAGGTTTGTCCCTGGTTTTGGAGCAACTGCAGCTCCCCTGCATGAGCTGACAAAGAAAACTAACCCAGATCTAGTAGTCTGGAAACTGGAGTGTCAAGAGGTGTTTGACACTTTAAAAGCTGCCCTGGTCAAACAGCTGATCCTGAAGGCACCAAAATATGATAAGCCCTTCCGTGTAGCCACTGATGCCTCAGACACAGGACTGGGAGCTGTACTCCTGAAAGAGCATGGAGGAACATGATGCCCTGTAGTCTACTTGAGCCAGAAGTTAATTCCCAGTGAGCGGAGCCTGTCTTTGATTCAGAAGGAGTGTTTGGCAATCATCTGGGCGTTGAACAAGCTGAGGCCCTATCTATGGGGACAGCAGTTCACTGTCCTCTCAGACCATGCCCCACTTGAGTGGCTGCAGACAATGCAGAACACCAATGCCAAGCTTCAACGATGGGCCTGGCAGCTTCAGAAGTCCAACTTCACTGTCGAACACATCAAGGGAAGCCAGAATGTGGTAGCAGATTCCCTATCCTGAAAAGACTATGGGTAATGGGCCTGATGGACTCAGGCCTACCCTGGAGCGCTCTGGCACGGGGATACCCCAACTTGTCTTAATGTTCTATGTGTATTGTTGTTATGAACAGTATTACGATGTGTTGGGTGATCTCTCTTTGGGTATGAAAGGTAGCCCTTCCAAACAAAACACGCCCATACCCACAGCTCTGTGAAGCCATGTGTCCAGGCTTTTGAAGGAGGTGGGGGGGGAAATGTGGAGGATTTCCGTCCCAGCCACCTCCCTTTCACCAGTTTTTTATTTCTCTCCTTGGCATTGTCCCCTTACCTGTCTATTAACTCTGCCCACTTACTCAGGCACCAGGGTGGGGGCTTAAGCTCTCTTGTTCTAAGTGGTGACCTCATGGCCTGGGGGGCAGGGCGGGTAGCCCCTACCACTCCACCGGGTAGTGATGAGGATGCATTTGACATTGGCTGGCTAGCAGCCAACAACTGCTGGCCTTCATTGGGCCCCCAAAGGTGATCTCAAAAGACCTATATAAGCTAAGACTGCCCAGGGGGTGGGGCAGAGCAGCCATGATGAAGACACGGGAGCTGAAACATCTGCAGCTCTCTCTCTTGAGATGCTGGAGTGAGTAAATTGTTGAAACCTAACTAGATCTATAGCTTGCTGTAAAGTAGATGTGTGGTTTGCTCTAGAGTTATCCTGTAATACTTCTCTATGCTGCAGCCTTCCCTCTGTAACCAATAAAGTTCTTCACGGTACCAAGCGTGGTGGACTTGTTGGGAAAGGCATGCCTCTGTGCCCCTTGGTCCCGCTGACTAAGGGAGGCTACTTTTTGTGCTTCAGGCTAGAGGAAGCACCCCAAGTTTTTGCAGTGGGTCAAGCACCCTCAAGAACTACGCGGCCTGTGTATCCCAGGGGGCTTAGAAACAGTCCAGACCCCAGGGTGGTGGCAACAGTACCCCCAGGCTATCGGGTGTGCTCCAGGCAGGGGGTTGGCCAGACGTGAGGCGCCCCCAGGGAGGCATTCGGCACTCCGCTTGGCAGGTGGACGGGCGCAGTGAGGTGGGTGGCTCAGTGCAGGAGCACCCCCTACTGGCCCACCACACCTCCCACCCTAGAGAGACCAGCAGGGCTGTAGCAAGGTGTTCCCCATCCTGTCCAGCACAGGCCCCTTCCTGTACTTCCCTGGTACCTGGTGATGGACGAGGCAGGCCACTCGGCGGTAGTAAATGATGGGATGGCTGGGCCGGAAGGTCACCGTCAGGCTGAGGCTGGCCTGGCCCTCCAGGACCCCACAGGGGTGGTCTACAGAGAAGACGCTGTCCCTGCTGTCCAGGTCAAACTGGTAGTGGGCTGGGGCATCCGAGATATTGCTGATCTCCAGGCTCTGTGCAGAGCGTTCCCCGAGGAGGAGCCAGTTGAAACCCAGGGCAGACTGGGACAGGCAGACCAGTGGACCTGCAACAGCAGTAGCACCCCCGGGCGAGCTTGGGTCTCTCACATTGGGGCTGTCCAGACCCCTGCCCTGTCAGCTAAAGTGGGGTTTGTCCCACGCCAGGTGCATCTGCCTGCTGGGACCCAAGGCACAGCAGGGTGCTTTTAGCACTCCTAACATTGCTTCTTGCAGCCTAGCAATGCTGGAGACCGGACCTGAAAGCCAGGAGGCTCCTGCCCACCCCACACGCCCACCTCTCAGCACCCAGCTGGCTGTGCAGTGCCAGCAGCACCATGCCTGGAAGCCAGCACTAGAGCCCACCAGGGCCATAAGGGCACAGAGCCCTGCACAGGTCAGTGTTAGGCACTGCCCTCCACCCCCTTCCTGCAGCACTGAGATGGAGGGCCTGGAGACCCTTTTAAGCCTCCCGCAGAGGAACTGAGTGCTGGCTGTAGCCCAGACCATGGGCTGGGACCAGGTTGTGCCAGTGCTCCTGCTGGGACTCAGCCCCACAAGGTCCTGGCTAGAGGCTCTTGCCCCGAGCTCAGGCTCAGCCCCACGCTGCCTTGGGGAAAGGCAGGCAGGGATTTGTCTCCTGCTCAGCCTGGCCCGGCCTGGGGGATTTCCCTTCCCTCTGCAGTGGGGGCATAGCTTGAGCTTGGGCCTGGGCTCTCTCCAACGCCCACCAACCCCCTTGGCAGCAGCAGGACACTGGCAGCCATGGTCCCCTTGCTTTTCTGGAGGCAGGGGCGGGAATGATGCCTGAGGCTGTCAGGGGTGACTGTGTCATTTGGCTACTGATTTGGACAGGGCAGGGCTTGGACTGGATGTGACCCTGCAGCTCCCCGACAGCCCCACAGCTCTGGGACTCTGTGATTCTGTGACCTGGGGGTGTTTTTGGTGGCTCAATACCTTTGCAGGAGCCCATCACCTTCAGCACAGCACGTGTGAGGCCCCCGGCAGGTACCACACTGAAGTAGTCCACGCTCTGCACCCCAACAGTCTGTGGGCTGAACCGTACGGGGAGGAGCAGCTTCCCACTGGCAGGCACCACAGCCCTGCTGATTGGGCAGGTGAAGGTGTTGTCCTGGGGCAGCGGCTCCCGTGCACGCTCTATCCTGAAGGGGGCGCTCACCTGTGGGGGGGCAGGTGGGAAGAGGACCAGGGTCATGCACTTCCCGCCCGGAGCCCGTAACCTGTTCATGCCGCACTGGGCAGGCTGACAGCTCGGGGGCTGGGTCCCGATCCCAGCTGAGCCCTTGGCAGGGAACCACTCGAAGCCAGCCCCTCGCTGCAGTCTATCTGCTCATCTGCCCAATGACCCCGAAACCTGGGGCAGAGGTGGACATGCTTGCCAAGTGCCCAGAGCAGGCTCCTGGTCCCTGCACAGGTGCCCGGGCAATAGCAAAACACAAAGCACCTGCACGAGATCACAGGCTTTGGAGCCCAGAGTTGATTCTCTGCCATCAGACCTGGGGAGGCAACCAGGATCCTACCAGCCTGCCAGTGCAAAGGGGGCAGGCAGGTAGCCCTGACATGGCACCTGCCTAGGGATGGAAGACCCAGGTCCCCCTCCCCCAGGGGAGGCAGGTAGCCCCATAGGAACCACCTCCCACCCGTGCCCACGTACCGTGGATGGGTTGCAGATTTCCACCTTCGCCTCGACGGTGGTGCCGACAGCCACAGCGCCAAAGCACAGCACATCTCCGATGCCTCCAGGCCCCACGTCCTCACATGGCTCCCCCAGCACCTTCACCACCAGGTGCAGGTATTTGGCTGTGGTAAATCACAGCCTGCAATTAAGACCTGGGCCCCTGCATTAACCTGCTTGCAAGGCCGTGAGCCGTTCTCTTTCCCCTGCGCACACCCCACAATTCCAGGCTGCTCAAGACTGTCCTCTGCACAGATTGCCCTTGTCCCAGGGAAATGGTGCTGGTTGGGAGCACCCTGAGAGTCCCAGTACAGCTAAGACTCCAGCCCTTCCAGTGTTTGTACCACTGAGCCAAACCAGCCCTCTCCCCTGTTCCTTCAGCCCAGTTACTGGTCTGCACAGGTCCCACACAGCAGGGTCTCATGGCCCTGCGACATCCCTGGCCACTAGCCCCTGGCACCCTGCAGCCACCCTGCAGCTCTGAGTAAGGCCGGCCCTGGGCAGCCTCACCACTAGCTCGCAACTGGATCATCCTGTTCTGCTCCTCGTCATCCCCAAAGCGGCAGGTTGCCATCACATCATAGGCCAGGGCCACCTGGGGCTGGAAGAGCACCTTCACCGTGCACATGGCGCCCGGCTCCAGCAGGCCGCTGGTGGGGACCAGGTGGAAGGGGCTGGGCACCTCCCAGATAAAGATGGTGATTAGATCGCTGGAGGAGATGGAGAGGAGTTTAAGGCAGAAGTCAGAGCCCCCCAACTCTGGCCCCAGTTATCCAACGCACATCCCACAGGCATGCACTTGGCCCCTGGCAAGCAGCCAGCAAATGAGCTGTGTCCTGCCATGGACCCAGCCGTGCATGCGGCTGCAGGCTGGGGCTCACTCACCCGACGTTGCGCAGCGGGAAGGTGGCCTCGGAGAAGTGGTAGGCAGCACAGGTGGGCAGCTGGAGGGTGTCTGGGCAGAGGAGGGCATGGCGGGGCAGCGTGGCTCGCAGGGCAACGGAGAACTCGCCCTCTGGCTTCTCAAAGCAGATGCAGTCCTCGTACTCTCTCTGCGGACAGAAAGGCCGAGAGGTGCGGTCAGGAAGAGTCTGGGCTCCTGAGGATGGGACTGTGCCCTGCGCGTGCCCGAGGGTCGTGTCCTGGCCCTGCAGAGGGGTGCTGGGGACAGCGTGTGACAGACAGGGCTGGCCCCCCGCAAGCCCCAGCAGTGGCTGCATGCCTCAGTGAGGGCAGTGTGTGATGGCCCCGTGCCCGGATTCTCCTCTCCATTTCAGAGGCCCAGAGCCGGGGGGCTGGCAGGGAGCTGCGGGGTCAGACCCAGCCTGAGGCAGGATCAGCCCTGTCCAAACCAGCACAGACCAGCCCCGTGTGCGACATCGTGGTCACACTGCCAGCCCTTGGGTGGCTTGCCCTGACGTGGACACAAGACGCTAGAAGAGGGAACAAAGAAGAGGGAAGCGGAAGCAGAGCACAAGGGGTGGGAGACGCCCGCGGCCCCCTCGGCCAGCCCTGCCCCGGCCCTGGGTGCGACGGACGGACGGACCCGCTCTACCTTTTCCAGGGGGCGGAAGACAATGGGCAGAGTCAGGGACATGCCGGGGCTCAGGACGATGGGCTGCGGGAAGACCGTGCTGAAGAAGCGGGTGGCAGGCGGCCTGCGGAGACCCGGGGCAGGAGACTCAG